TATATATATATTTAATCACCAGCTCTGTCTCTGGAGACTTCAGCCATCAGCTTCCCAGATCTCCCGAGACTTACTTCCTTTTACTGTGTCAGCAGGTAAAGACAAACAAAATCATTTTTGGTTTATGCTGTTTTTATTACATTAGTTCTAAATTCTTCTTATCCAAAATTGTTTTTTTCTTCTTGTTTGTGTGTAAGAGATGTGTTACCGTTCCCTCTGGAGCTTCCTGAAGCCATCGCAAAAGCAGCATCGCACAAAGAGCTGGAGTCCATCTCCCACATGGGAATAGGTGGGCGATTTATTTGTTTCTTCACGGCTGATCTTGTAACTCAGTCTTTAAAGAAGGGRTTTATCTATGTGACTCATTTCAAAAATGACCTCGCAAAATTAAATACTAAGGTTTTTATTATGAGGCAGATGACGTGTCTGTTAGCAACATATCTCATAAAACACTCAGTGTTTTTTTTATTGAAACTTGCCAAAAATAATCATTATATGCAAAAATACAAGTGATTAACTTTTGGAGTCGATCCGATCAAGATGGCTGCCACAGCCAACCGTTGTTAAAAGAACAAAAAAAAAATGACTTTAACTCAGCCAATTTTATAAATATTGATCTAAAGTTCAGTGTGGTTGTAGCTGAAACTGATTCTCAACACATATTCTAAATACTAACAGATTACGCAAGACTTTTTTTTGAAAACTTTGGCAATGACTGTTTGGTTTCAGCTTAGTCTGTCTGTTAGCAAAATATCCTATGAACTACTGCACATATTTGAAAGAAATTTTGAGGAAATAATCATTGGATGTACCTCTATAACTGATTAACTATTGGAGTAAGCTGAATTTAAGACAGTTGCTACAGTCAGCTGACCCTAAAAACAACAAAAACGACTAAAATTTGATCAATTTTGCAGTAATTGCGCCAAAGTTTGGTGTAATTATTTGTGAGAGTTGTTATTAACACATACTAAAAGTGGTACTCTTTGCACAAGATGTTAGCTTCTAAATTTAGCCTCAACTGTTGCAGTCGACCTTATAGGTCTGTTAGCAAAATATCTCATGAACCTCTTGATGTATTCCAATGAAACCTTCAGAAAGTTATGGCTGGATATACATTTACAAACTGTTACCTTTTGAAGTCAGTTCATGATGGAAGCCACCATTAACTGAGAATAATAAAAATGAAAACTTGGGCATTTTTACAGATATTAATCTAAATCTTGAGGCAGTTCATAACTCTGAGCATGACATGTGATTGCATCGACTGTAAGGAAGTAAAAACGTTAGCATGGTCGTAACTTTCTAATTATTTTCCAGAGTTCTGGAGTTCCCACTTAAATGTCCGAGGGCCACGAGACGCACCGAAGCCCAAGAAAGCTGAGGAGAAGAAGCCAGATGTGGCAGCATCAGTTTCTCCTCCACCCCTGCCAGATTCACCTCCTCATCTCGACTCCAACAACGACCCCCCGGCCGCGCCCGAACCAGACGCCCACAATAAAACGCCCGACCCAAATCCCACCTTGTTCCACGAGTTCTGCCCGATCACGACGCGCAGCCCCAGTGAGCTGGACTGCGGCGCGGGCCAGGGYGCCCTGTGCTTCGTCAACCCCCTCTTCCTGCAGTCGCAGAACGCGCTGTGCCGGCGCCGCATGTTCAAGCGCAGCCTCAAGGTCCGCGTCTCCACAGAGACGCTGACCCAGCTGTCGCCTCCGCTCGCGCCRCCGCCTCCTCCGCCTCTCCTGCCCAAAACCAAGGGGAGGTGCAAGGCCCAAAGGAGGGGGGAGGGAGCCCCCGCTGATGCCTCGCGGACACAGAATCCATCAGGAACTCCTCACTTCCTGTTTGAGATGAAGGAGGAGGAGCACGAAGACTCCGACACGGACCAAAGCAAAGCAGGAGTCAAGGAGGTGTCAGCTCAGTTTCCAGCCATAAAGGAGCATCTTTTAGATGAATACATGACTCCTCCAGTGAACCACCCCACTTCCCTCTCTCCTTACCACTCACCCTCTGTTTCTCCCATTGCACCTCCTCTTTTCCCCAAATCGTCCCCCGTTCTCCCCTCTCTCGATTCCCTCTCCCCCTATCAGTCTCCATCTATATCTCCTAAAGCTCCTTCGTCACCAAACCGCTCACCCAGCATCTCTCCATCCCTCTCCTCCCCACACACAGAACTGGTCTGCAGCACACCTGAGAGGGAGGAGGAGGAGGAGGAGGAGGAGCTTCCAGAGAGAAACCAGGATGATGATGAGGATTTGAACAAAGAAGAAAGCATGGAGTTACAGATGAGCGCTGCGTCTCTTGAAGATGTGGAGAGCTGCAGTTTGAACGGTAACGTTGAGGAAGCAGCAGAAACGAGCGAACAGACAGCTGAAGCCTCGAGTGAACAAACATAACATCTTTCTGATGGTTTACTTCAAATCATGTTTTTTTTTCTTTAAAAGGAGACACATCATGCTTTTAAATCCTTTTTTTCACATTTAAATCCTTCAGTATAGGTCTATATAAAGTGGAACTGCAATGCTTCGGTCTGAACTCCTTACTGTAACTCCACAAGCCCCTCTTTTCTGCTGTGTGTCTCAGATCAACTCGTTTTGAGGCTGTCTCTTTAAATCCAGACCCCGCCCCCTTCAGAGAAAACTGAACGAGTTGGAAAAATATGACCCAAACAGAATATGTTATCTACACAGCAGCAGGAGAGACTGAATTCTAATTTTCTGCACTAGAGACTCCAAGAACACAAAATATATTTAATGGATAAAAAGTGGATTTTGCACGATGTCTCCTTTAAAGTGCCTGTGACGTGCCTATCCATGTAAAACAAAAAGTCAAAGAAAACACATTTTTATATAAGAAACCTTGTATAAAACATGATTTTACCCATTTTGTCACGTAACTGGCATATTTTCCTTTGAACTTGGATCAGCCAAGGTGAAACAGGAAGTGACATCAAAGGGGAACTATTTAAGAAAGAGAACTCTCTGGTCTTTTTTGAAATTATATTATTTGAACTTTGACTCGTCTTCATCTCTTTGATAGTAACTAAAAATAATCTAAAGAAACATCAGATTCTTCTCTAGTGTCCTTAGCCATTTTATCAGTGCTTTAATCCATGCAGACATAACTTCAAATGCAAATATCTCAACTGTTCATATCAGCAGCAGGAATTTATTTTTGCAATATGTTATTGATATTTTTCCAATAATGTCTTTACATTTATTTTAAAAAAATCATGTCACAGGCACTTTTACCTTTTTATGATTTTAACTGTAGATATTTAACTCTTGTTTTACCTCCAAATAACTTAATTTTTGCACCAAAAAGGTCAATTAAACATTGTGATAGTTAGAAAAAGCAACATTGTTGACAGCACTAGTTGTTTATAAAGGGTGACTTTCTGAATGTTTCATTAAAGCCCTTCCTGGGATTTGAGATATTTTGCTAACAGACACTGACTCTGAGTTATTAATAGCAAATTTTTAAACCAGGTTGATTTATTAAATTTTGTGGGTTTTTTTGTTTTTGTTTTTTTGGTGGTGGTGGCGGCCATCTTGAATTAAGTCCAAAATTTAATCAGTTAACAAATCTACAATTCCGGCGTTTCTTAAAAATGATGCARTATTGTGCTAACAGATACGGGCTATCACCTTCTATCTTTGGTGGCAGACCAAAAAAATAAATAAATGCTGACATTGTGATATTTTAGTTGCAATGAAAGTGAAACTGAATTGACCCAAAGTAAAGATGTTAATGAAATACAAATAAGTTTTTTATTTATCAAACACATTTTATTAGTTTTGCCTCATAACATCTCATTTGATAGTTTTTCACTTTTCAGTTATATCAAACAAAAAGAAAAACGGCAGAAAATTAAATGTTTCTTTACTGCAGCTACATCACCTGAAGTCCAAACTAAATTCTTCAGTGACAATCTTGTTTTATTATTTGTTAGGCTGACAGTTTGTTCATGTTTTCTGTGACTGCCAGCTGTTAGACTTGTTGATTCTTATGGCTTTAATTAAAGGTTTATTTATTCTTCTTGCCACCTTTTTAAACATTTGTTTTTCTCCATGAGGTTTGAGCAGCTTGTAGTTGAGAAACTCGTTGGGTGAGATAATCCATCAGCACCAGCAGGGGGCGTCTCTTTTGCGCAGCTCCAGCAGGTCGGCCTCCACCTGTCCTGCGTCGTCCCCGAAACGCTCGGCGAAGGAGCGAATCAGACCTGCGGCGCTGCCTTCATACTCCACCAGCTCAACGCTCTCCCCTGGAAACCACAAACCGTCAAACACAAGCTGACCAGAACTGAAACTAAAGCTGCGCTCACACTGCAGGGCTTTCTGCTCAGATACCAGTTTTTTTTTTCTAATTTAAATGCGACCGCCATCAGATATATGTTTGTGTAGATTCTCAGTGCTGCAGATGAAAAAAGTTTAAAAAAATAAAGATGAAGCAACTGGACTTTTATTTTGTAACCGAAACCTTGAGGAGTTCCAAGCCTTAAAGGGATCCCGATTAGTTGTAACATTAGACTTTATTTAATAAACATACGTATATGGGAATCACTGCTTTAGACATTGTCAAGGGCTGAAGGAACTGTCCAAGGTCCTGAAGGTGCTGGAATGTTTTAGGACTTTAGACAATGTGAAGGGCTGAAGGAAATGTCCAAGGTCCTGAAAGTGCTGGAATGTCTCAGGACTTTAGATGAATGGCTGAAGGAACTCTCCAAAGTCCTGAATGTACTGGAATGTCTCAGGACTTTAGACRATGTGAAGGGCTGAAGGAMCTGTCMAARKTCCTGAATGTACTGGAATGTCTCAGGACTTTAGACAACGTGAAGGGCTGAAGGAACGGTCAAAGGTCCTATCATGCACTATCACCGTATTAGCTCAGCACTACACATTCTCCTCTCATCACTGAGGTCCTCCATCCACATGACAGAGAGGAGAAGGTAGAAATGACTCAGCCTGTAACTGAAAATATAGATGGAGGACCTCAGTTTAGCTTGTTTGTCGCGCTAGCACCGAGCTAATTCATACAAGGCAATATAGCGTCAGTGCTAGCAGAAAGGCTAACAGGCTAAACTGAGGTTCTTCTTCCATAAAGCAGCTCTGTTGTCCTCCATCCATATTTTCAGTTCCAGGCTGAGTCATTTCTACCTTCTCCTCTCTGTCAACGCTCTCTGGTTTCATTTAAAAGAGTCGATCATCAGATATTGTCCAAGATTAACCTTCAGGGTGGATATAGCTCGCTAGCAGCCTCGCACAGATGACCTATCCTTGTCATCATTTACCCAGAATGCTTTGCATGTAAATAAAATGGCTCCGTCCGTGTTAAAATATATTTTTAAACTTTTAGTTTAAAAATGATAAAAACTAAACATCCTTCAGTATTTTTAGTCTTTATTTTACAATTAAAATGTATGTTTATCAAATAAAAGCTAATGTTACAACTAATCAGGGATCCCTTATTAGATATGTGCCTGACTCAGTAGCAGAGATGAAAATGGCCTGGGTTAAATTTCTACTGTTCAGACTCTCTTAATAAAATCTGATAAAGATCATGGGGGGAAAAACGTTGGATTTGGTTAACTTTTGCCCGCGGTGTGAACGTAGCCTAATTAACTGAAGTTCAGCTACGTACCGCTGACTCTGGTGTTGGCCTGGACAAACATTTTGCGAGCCTCCTTCCTCAGCAGCACGGTCTCACGCAGTCGCAGGAAGCTGTGGGCGCCGCTGTCGCTGACAGAGGAGTAACCCTCATACAGAGCCCTGCCTCCTTCCACATCAGCTGTCGACTTAAACACCTGCACATGGTGGAATCACATATTCAGTGTTTTGTAATTACATGACATTAATGAGAGGAATTCAGAAATGTTCCCTGCACATCAGCTCCCTTTGTTGCGTGAATGCTTATCAAGCATCGTTTATCGTACGTTTTTCAGCACACCTCTCATTCTGCAATGTTTGTGCTATTTGAACAATTTCAAAACATTCAGCTCCTTCAGGATATTCCAGCTATGACTTCTGGTATTAAAGACATTTATACTTTAGACATTTTGCTTTTTCTGCCATTTCTTTCCTACATTTAGCTCATTTGAGTTTCAGAAATTACCATAAATATTTTCTTTCTGTTCATGCAAATTTCAGCTACTTTTTCAGCTGGTTTCAGAAGTTTTGGGGGACTTTTCCAAAATTGCAAATTTTTTTGCACTTCTTTTCTTCCTTTCAGCTAAATTAAAAAAAATTCACCCTCATTCGTCCATTAGTTTTAACTTATTTCATGTACTCTCAGCATCTTTATGCCAATTTTATCTACCATTTTGCTCATTACAGATTTTTTGACCCATTTTGCTGTTCTTTCTTTTGATTTTTCACTTTTGTTCTCCTACTTTTGGCAAAACTCTGCAATTCAAATTTAACTCTTTAAATCTTTTCAGCTTGATTTTAGCAGCTTTCAGCAAAGTTCTGTAAACATTGACTCTGCATTTTCACAGGAAATGCAATTTCTCTTGTTTGTATGTTTTACCTACAGTGGCCCTAATATGCCATTTCCATGAATTTCAGCTCATTGAAGCCCACATTTAGATTGTTCTAATGTGTTGATCAGTTACAACCAGGATAGAAGAGAACATCAAAGGTTTACCTTTTGATGCACAACAAACAATTGTTGCACAAAGTTAGCACTATTAAAATAAAAATGGGAATCAAGCTGTTGTGTCTCTATTAATCTGCACTTTATTTGTAAAGAACACACCTGCAGTTTACACAGGAACCTGTGGATGGCGTTCTTGCCCACAGTGTGGATCTTGCTTCGGTCGATCGTGATGCGCGCATCAGGCTTGCCGTCCTGACCCGTCACTTCCTCCAGGCCCACCAGTCCCTCTCCGGCTTCCAGCAGAACACGCAGGATGACGAAACGGGCCTGCATGTGAGCCTGAGACCAAAAAAAAAAGAAAAAAAAAAGACAAAAGCGACAATGTAAACAGAGACAGACTTATTGTAAACTAACTGAAACAACACAGACACATCCAACTAATCATGTGGGATTACGAGACTTGAGATTAATAATCTTGAGCTGACGCTTCATATAAACACCCTCGGGTTGTATGTAGCTGTAATCCTACAAGCGTTTGAACAAATGTTCAGTTGCTTTGTTTAAAACTCAGAACTGAATCATGGACACGCTGCAGCTCTACAGCTGACTGATCACCTGTCTCCAGCTCTTGCTCTCAGGAGTGTAGAACTCCAGGCCCAGTAATCCTGCTCGGACCATGCTCAGCCAGTTGATGTACACCACATCCTCTGCCTCCTGTCCTTCATGGCCAAAAATACTGGAACAAACACGAAAGTTCATTTATTGGACTTGACTTGGAACTGTGTGAATGCTTCATAGCGTTTTTTAGCTTTTTTCTGCCATTTCAGCTAAAATTCTGCTTCTTTCCGCTTTTCTTCTGCCTTTTTTTTTTACTTTTGTGCTTTTTTTCTGCTACTTTGTGCTATTTATGCATCTTACAGATTTTTTCTGCTGTATTCAGCTAGTTGCTGAAATTTTAACTTAATGTTTAGCTGCTATTAGCTAAAGATATCTTTTCTAAGTTAAACACACATTTTTGGTAGCTATTACAACTTTSTTCAGCTAASTTCAGCAAACTTGTGCTCCKTATGCTTTCTTATGCTAATGAAATTATTTCCAGCTACCTTTTARCTGTTTTACTGAAAATTTCAGCTGTTTTAGTTATTTTACTACAAATGATCACTTTTGTGTTTATGCTTTTTTTCAGCTTTGTTTCTGTTTTAGCTATTTTTCAATTGTAACTATTTCATCTTGGTTCTAATTTCAAATTGTGGCTGCTACCTTTAGCTTATTTTATGCTAATTTTAGCTATTTTATGCTACTTTAGCTATAGACCTGCTTCTTTCTGCTATTCTGTTTTTTCTACTTTTTATGCCTTTTTCTGCTACCTAGTGCTATGTATGCTTCTTACATGTTTTCAGCTATTCAGATATTTTAGCTCTTAGCTTTTAGCTGTTATGCAGTATGCAATGTTAGGATTTTTTTGCCAATAGCTTTTCAAAGTGCTGCATAAACACTTTTCCTATAAAAAGTTTTCAGCTCAATTTCGGCAGATTTCAGCTTAAGTTTTCAGCATGAAGCATTCACAGCAGCATTTTCGCAGGAAATCCAATTTCTCTAGTTTTACTTGATATATTTCAAATGTGCAAACCAGCGTTCCTCACCTCAGCACGTGTTTGTTGAGGCACAGATAGAGGCCGACACATTCGGCACGGCATTCTTCATAAGACGAGGCGATGGTGGAGAACTTACTGTCCCACGTCTCGCTTCCCCGATACCAGCTCAACACCTGAGAGGTGAAGCCGTAACATCAGTGCTTTCAGTCCCATCTTTAAGTCACACGTGGCAGCGAACACAAACTCACCGCTTCTCCGGTCTCTGGGTTGATCACTTTACTCTGATCAAAGTTGAACTTGCCTTTGTCATCCTAAGGAAAAACAACAAAAATTCACGTAAATTCTTCCATTCAGGAGAAAATGGGTTGATCTTAGTGTAAAGCTACAACATGTTGGACTAACCTGGACAAACAGCTTCCCACTTCCATGACCCAACAGCTCGTGGAGTCCAACCTGCACCTCGAAGGATGGGCCCTTCCATTTGATGAACAAATCCTGAAGCAAAAAAAAAAACTATTATGTATGGTAGATAAATCGAACACAGGAAGGTGAATAAATACAGAAAGGAAGATGAGATGATCAGGAGGCTGTGCAGCTTACTTTGTCCTCTTCTTGAAGGAAGGTGAGCTTTTCTTTCTGAGTAGCGTAAGCTACAGCCAGCACGTTACCAAGCGACACATTTTTAAAACCCTCTGACTGTCTGATGTCGTCATCTGTAAGCAAACACGACGTGGTAAATTACTGTAAATAAACGCAAACAAAAATCTCCAAAACTAAGGTTCAAACTGCAGGTCTTAATGCGCAATTTAAAAATAATAATTTGATTTCCTAGCGTAAATGTTCTCGTTTTATATGCTACCTCCATCACACTCCAGTCAGGGGCGGAGCCAGAGGGTGGTCAGGGGTGGCCATGGCCAACACAGACAAATCTTTGGCCACCCTGCTGTACACACCCCTTACACAGTGAAACAACCTTTAGGGGTGTAATAATCCTCCTGAACAGTTGGTGGCAGTGTTTAACAGTTTGAAACATCACCAAGCTCAAAGAAGTGACAAAGAAGTGATAGTTTTCTTTGTATACAGAACATATGCCTATGTATTAGGCATATGACTTATGGTGACAATTGTTTTTTTTTTGTCACCATAACACAGTGTCATTTTATGTTCTGAAGGCTGAATGATGCTCTGTCCATTTTGGTTATGAGTTAGACCTATCACTAAATAAGAAAAAGTGAAATGCCTCTTTAAATTCACTGTTGGTGARTATCAATATTGCACCTATTTATTGGGTAAAGTTATTAATATTAGTTTTAAACATGCAGTTCAAGGTCATCATTATTTGGCACAATGATGTGTTAAAATTAAAAATAAATCAAAAAACAATACAAAAGTACAAAGCACCCCTAAAGTCATTAGATATGATAAATTGTGTCAAATTAATTAACCTTATCTCAGCTAAAGCAGTGAGTTTAAAAACATAATAATGAAACTAGTTTAATGAAGAATCTGTCTCTGAAATAATTGTTAAAGCGTTTATTTATATAGGTAAAAGTATGTTAAACAACCAGGTAAAATACACCAGAATGCAGGAAATAGGGCTGTGTATTGACAAGAATTTGGCGATACAATACATATCATAACAGAGGGGTCACGATACGATATATCCCGATATATTGTGATACTATAAGCAAGGCAATATATTGCGATTTTTTTGTCCAAAAATTCTATTAAATAAAAACCACTTACTGAAAAAAAAAAGAAAAGCTAATGTTTACTTACAATGCTAATGCTACCCTTACTCTCTGGCGCTCAAGAGGTAGAGGAGCCAAATGTCTGGCTCACTGCTGTCAACTAGTGGTCAGAGGCTGAACTACAACATAAAAATGAACGGTTGGCAAGAAGGTTGACATTTTAAAGCTTAATTAAAAATTGATACAGGGCTTAATAATATCGATACAGTATCGGGAAATGAAATATCGCGATATTTCAGTGTATCGATATTTTCTTACACCCTTAGCAGGAAATGGCATTTATTTCGTTCAAAATTTTCTGGAGGAGGACCCCCAGACCCCCCAACAGTATCCACCCCCCACACTTTTAAAATGGTTCTGACACCCATGTTTATAAGGTAGTCATTGCCTGTATAAGAACATAAAGAAATGACCAAAACACAAAGATCTGCAGAAACTTTAAAGTAAAAAATTATGTAATTTTCCTGGCCACCCGAGAAAAATGTCTGGCTCTGCCACTGACTCCATTGTGAACCCTCCATCACACTGATACAACGTCACATTTAGCACACTGTTTACAGACGTAGCCTATGGATGCTAAATGTTAGCATGTCGATACTGAAGCTGTGCAATCAGAGCAGATTAAATAATTATCTGACGTGCTTGTTTAGTTCACTGTTTACATTTGCTTTTAGGCTAGCACAAGTATTGATCCAGTAGCTTTAGCATCGATACGGTCTGAGACCAACATTACGATTATATATTTCTGTAGATTCTTAGTCATCCAGGACACGGAAAAAACAAACAAAAAACAAAACAAAGATGGAACAACTGGACTTCTGCTCTGTAGACGAGTGGAGCTACAAGATTTAAACTGCACCAGGATGGTATCAATATTCTAATTACTTGGATCGATCTGCTTACCCCAACCTCACTGAAATGCGCTCTGAAAAACAGCAGATGTACCACATACTGAAAAGGCCTGGGTCAAATTTGAAAAAAGTAAAATAAAATCAGAAATAAAATCKAATTAGTCACGTTCAGTTGCATTTTGCCTGCAGTGTGACCAAAGCCTAGCTATTATTGAAGTTATAATCTCAGCATACGTACAGTTGGGGATGTTAATGCCAGCTGGGATTCCGCTCCCGGCGAACGTCAGGACGTCCAGCGAGGTGAAGTCGGGTTTGAGGAACGTGTCTTTCTCGAACTCCTGGGGCCAAGGCAACTCGGGGAGCAGGACTTCAGCCGAACCCACCAGCTTAGCAAAACGCTCGCTCATCGCCTTGTTCACCACCGCGACAAAGCCTTAACCAGACGTCACATCACACAAGTGGCAATTTCATTTCAACCATCCAAACTCACCCTGTCGTTTTCCCCCTCTGTAATTTAGGTTTGCACACTGGCTATGACAACGCTGAACCTGTCACCCTCTAAAAGGCAGGAACATTTTAAATCTTCAGGATGCACTGTTCTATGTTATTTCTAATTATTTGATTGGAGAACTTTTACCTTCAAATTCTCCTCTAGAGCCAAATGGATCTCTGTAGCTCTCTATGAACCCGATATAACTGGGAGAAAGGAAGAGAGAAAAAGAACCGGTGAGTAACATGAGCTAAACAGCAAGAAAAAAAAAAAGGTTTATTATTAAACAGGGCAGCTCTGATTACTGGGAGCAAAGGTCTCTGCAGTGAACTTTATAAGGAAGCAGACAATCAAGAAAAATCAAGATTAAAGCGAGATGTCGAGGAAGTAAAAGTTAATAAGAATCAAGATGCCTTTTATGTTTTGTGCATAATAACAGAGCAGTGAAAAATTAACACCGGTCCCTGCTCAAGATCCGGCCTCACATATTCAAGTAACGTGTCTTAGAGCTCTGGGTCACCTCTCAACAATTGGTCCTTTGTCTTTGATCCAGTATCGTGAGCCCTCTTTGTGGGCTTCGATGGAACCCAGAGTGAAACTGCGCTGGTACTCTTCCAGCATCTTCTTTTGGTTCTCATTGGCGGCATAAGCCTGTTAAAAAACAACCAAACAAAAAAAAAACAAGAATCACAAGGAAGGCAGAAATAATAAATCACGCCATTAACTCAGTTATTTACTGTCCTACTGAATGTAGCGGGCTCTATCCAAGCTTTAAATGGTAATATTAGGACACTTTCGTGACTGTTTGAAATGTAATTTTGCTTTTAAACCAATTAGTTTTATCTTAACAGCTGAATTCAATTTGTAGTCTTTTTAGTAGAGATGTTGCTTTCAGTCAGGGATGCACAAACAAACATGTTTGATGCAACAGTTGATATTTTTCTCTTGTATCGTGATTATTTGTGACCCATCACATCAAAATGAGGATTAAGTCAAATTTGGTCAAAACGACCAAATGACATTTTCAGATTCCTGTTTTAAAAGCTACATTTTGACAACTGGATCATCCTGATATCATAAACAGAACCAGAGATACGCCCTAATTTGTCTTGTTGGTTACGATAACACATTAATATTTGGTCTAAATCCTAATTTTCTGTAATTTTAATGAGGAATTTCTAATTTCATTTTGAAGAGGAAATCTCAAATAGTTTTTAAATATTGACATTTCCCAGCTGGAAAGAAACAAAAACTTTGCAAGCTCACAGGGAAAATCTCACAATTAGAGGGATTTGGCCTCAAAATCGTTTTTTTTTTTTTTTTTTTTTTTTTTTTTTTTGTTATTTCTGCTCAAAAAAGTGCTTTAAAATTTGCTTTATGATATATTTCACACAGTTCATTCACATGAAACACAGTTAAGGCATTTATTTGTTATATTTTAAAGAAATTAAATTTTTGTTAGTGTTTTAGTCAAAACACTATGTTTGCCTATTTCTCCATACACCACTTTTAGACTTAGTCCTCGTTTCGATGTGATGAGTCACATTTTTCATTTCCATTTAGTTTATGTTCCATTTCACAAAACTAACAGGTAAAAGGAACTTGTGTCGCTGCTCACAGAAAGCTAAATGTGAGCCATCAGCGCTATTTTCACGTTCCACCACTTCGTTACCTGTGCTTGTTGGAGGTAATAACAGACTTTTTCCATAATTGKACAATAATCTCCCCTCTTCACAATGAACTCTTTGTCCTCAAAGCTGAAGCTGCCACAGCAGGACTCACACTCCCCATCCACGGCACAATCTGTGAAGTAATGATGTATATTCTTATTTTCATCAACCAGGATAACCAGTTATGTAATTTTGCTGCATTTCAGTCTCAAATTAAAGTGTTTTTGAAGTCCAGCTTGACTCATAATGCATTACATTTTGGATGTGAGATAATTCAAAAGCTTTWTTTTCCTCTCATTCTGACCTTTCTGCACAGCGGACGCCAGTCTCACTTCATAGCAGGTTTTCCCTCCACTGTCCTTCTTGAACAGGCGCGTGTTGTAGGCAGACAGTTTCTGGAAGCGAAGAAGAATAAGGTCGGTTGAATAAAACAATGCTTACAAAAGTTGACGATTCTGGTCTAACTTTAAAAAAAAATAAGCTAAAAATAGCAACTTGGGAGAAACAGACCTGAATAGTTTAAATAAGATGGGTTAACCCAGCTATACATTTGCTTACTTTTGAGTCTAGGAACCTCTGAGCCAGCTCTGCATCCTCCAGACAGCAGTTTCCTGAGAAATAGGTGCTAATTCCCTAAAAAAAAAAAAGACAACTTACATTTATATAAACTTTTCAGTAAGGTGGGGTGTATGTGAATTCACCAGTTGTTTTCTGTGGCTTCCTGTGACTCAAGAATCTTAATTTCATTATAATAAGTGTTTAAAACCAATATACTTCAAAAACTGTCCATCTTACCAAGTTTTAAAATCTTATATCAGCCAAAAAGTATTTTTTGATCTTGTTTTGAGACTGATTTACTAAACAAGAACTGATTGTGTAAGAATAATAATCTTCTTTTCAGAATGTGTAAGATTATTTGTCTTATTAGTCTGAAAATTTGACTCAAATTAAGTCAAAAATTTCTGCCAATGGAGTAAGAACATTGTGCTTGGTAAGATTCTTGAAATACTTGATTTGACTCATTTTTTTCTTATTTCAAGAATCTTACCAAGTAAAAATTTCTTACTCCATTGGCAGAAATTTTGACTTAATTTGAGTCAAATTTTCAGACTAACAAGACAAATAATCTTACACATTCTGAAAACAAGATTATTATTCTTACACAATTAGTTCTTGTTTAGTAAATCAGTCTCAAAACAAGATCAAAAAGACTTTTTGGCTGATGTAAGATTTTAAAACTTGGTAAGATGAACAGTTTGCATTTTAAATAGAATATAAAGCAAATAATAAAAACAGAATCATAATTGGCTAAAATAAAGTAAAAAGAGCTCTGCAGCATACACCTAAAGAGATAACAATACATTAGCTGTAAAAGTTGTAATGCATTCTATATAGTGTGCTGGCAGAGATTCGCTATAAAATATAGCTAAGAGCCATAACTTTGTTAAACAAAGAGTGCAGCACAAAATAACCATATGTACAGCCTTATATCATTATAATCATTTTCACCAAGTTTTCATCCTTAAAAGACGCGCAAGAGGAGTTGAGCTAATTAAAAAAAACTGCTAACAGACGGCCACAACACACACCATAACATGATACAACCCTTCAGGCATAATAATAAATCAGCAAGAAATAGCAAACAGTTTATTTGGAGGTTTGGAAACAATTAAYGTCCAAGGCAAATAAAAGCACTTTTACAAGAAACACTTTGTTTCACAAAAAAGGAAAAGAACCGCTACAAAAGTGCACCGTTTCTTAGACACTAAGCTTAATAAAAAGACAAATACGACTAGTTGTTCTGAAGATCTGAGAGGTAAATCTCTTAGACAAAATCAGCACAATCTCAAACAAAGCTTTAGCCAAACAGTTGTCAAATCTATCCAGTCTATCTAATAAAAACGATTTCACTATAGAAATTATCAAATAACATTAAGTGTTAAATTATATTAGATCCCACCTTGTCACCGAGGCCAAGTTGTTTCTGTCTGTCTTCAAGCGAGTACATGAGACAGGAGCAGCTGTTCCACAAAGCCTCCATCTCACTGGGCTTCTCCTGAAACACCTGGCTGGCCCTCACCAGAGCCTCCAGCTTGTCCTGGATGAAAACACAGCAGCTTGCATTCACATTACATTCAGAAAAACGTTGCATTTCGAAGATACCACCATATTTTAAAGGTAATTAGAACACAAACAAACCCAACGCCATTTTCACCCAAGACTTGATGTTTCCTTACCTTTGGTAGATTTGGGATGAATTTGGTGTCTCCAAAAGACTTGTAGTTGCCCATGTTTGCATACACACCAGCTGCATACACCAGGAATGCCTACAGGTTCCAAACAGGACAAAATAACTGTTTACATCTGTTTGTAGCTTTATTTAAGGGGAATAACACCATTAAACCGTTGGTGTACCTGGTACTCCTCAGAGCTGAGGCCAGCTGCTTTGGCAACCTGTTCCAGCTGCTCTGGTGTCTGCTTCCTGAAGATTCTCTGCAGCAGGACAAAGATGTCTGCAGACTCCGGAGACGTCTGCAGTAGCACAGCGAGACCACCATACCTAACAAAGATCACGAGCAGAATGACTCTTCAGTTCATTAAACCGCTATAATATCCAGTCAATAGTCCAGTTATTTGATGTCAGCGTTGACCGAACGACAACTTAGAGACGTACCAAGCGGCGCGTGACAGATAGTGGGCATACATCTTCTCCTGAGGTGAGAGCAGACGAAAGGCTTCGGCACAGTCAAGGGCAGAGATGCCGATGTCATTTGGGAGGTAGTATTGGGAGTCCACCATCTTGGCTGAGATTCAGTAATGCTGATGAGGTCCTGTTGGCAGAGTAAAATTAAAAAAAGCAAAGCAATGGTTAAAAACAAAAATAAAAATTCAATTAAAAATATAATAATAATAATAATAATAATAATAATAATAAGAGAAGGGAGAACTGAAGTGAAGTAAGACAAATATTTAATATTTTAAGTTGCTGCTATTTATACACGTAAACAATTGGAGGGCATTTAAGAAAAACAAGAGATTTAAAAGATCCATCAAATAAAAGTTTAGGGTCAGACGCTATTTATTAGATAACCTTAAAATATTCAGTCACGTGATCTCGCATGTTTTCTGTTTCATTTCCTTTAAAACYAGTAACAGCTATAAAATTAATGCGTCTGTACCTGCCTTGTTGCCTCTTTAAACCCAACACTCCCACTCTCTAACACCAGCTGGACTAAAGTTATCTGAAACCACATGTTTAAGAAAAGACAATAAGTCGTGCACATTAGCAGCTTGTATGCTAACGCGGCTGCAAAGTAAGAAACATTAACATAACTTCTAATAAACCGCACGAGTTTTAAAGGCTATGTCATAATTTTAAACTTTGATTCCTCTTTATCACATACACAAGAGGCTGAAAGGTAGTTTAAAGTTAAGTCAATAATTTGATACCTTTGTTAAACGTCTTCGCGAACGTCAAATTGCAGTCTCACGCAGCTCACTTCCTGTATTCATTCATATGTAGACCCGCCCCTCAACCAATCAGAAGTTGCATTTTGTGATTGGCGTAATTATTAGCTAATCGCAAAACAGTTTCTCTGGTTTTCCGAGTCAGACTGTTTGTGATTGATTAATTGATTTTTTTAGCAGTAATATTGCATGTACATACACATCTAGTWCATTCATTATTAATACTTCGATAACACAAGAAAGTGTGAATCACTTATTTCCATTGTAGTCCAAATAAATCAAGTATCAGTTAATTACAAGTAATGCTGCAACTATTTTTGAGTGAATAGATTTTAAAAATTGCAATATTTGTCTATGTTTTGTTTGTTTGTTTTYCGTGGCACTTGCCAAATCGGGAAAAGAGCCCCTACTGCAAAAATGTTTCAGAAAGTACTTATTTACATGCTAAAATTAGTAATTTGATTAAAAAATAAAAAGTCAGCATTCACCCTTAAGTTATTCTTTAAACCTGGTAAACTGACGGAAAGGACCCAGAACCTGCATTATTTAGAACAGCGGTTCCCAAAGTTGGGGTTGGGACCCCATTGGGTCATGAGGGGTCAAGAGAAAACCTGCATAAATAAAATTTAACAATTGCCAATGACGTATCTAAATTTAACTGTCAAGAGATAAAACAAGTGACCATAACGGGATAAAAATAATATCCTATCTTTGATGCTAGAAACCAGCAGCTCATGAATTACTGCAGCTTTTTATTTTCTGAGTGAGAAGCTGAAACGTTTGGCACCACCTATTTTAGAATAAATATGTATCTGTTTACTTTGGGATGTTTTTTGGTTGATGCTGGGTAGAATGGCAGTGCAGTGGTTATGGTTGTCAACTCTTTTCCAGATGGTTGCAGGATCACCTGGGGCCTACCTGTGTGGAGCTTGCATGCCCTTGCCATCATGCACACATGGGTTTCCTCAAAATACTCAGATTCCCTCCCACAAATCTGAAAACATGCATGTCAGGTCAATTGCTAACTCTTTTTTTGTCAACTAGGTCTATTGCTAACTCTAAATTGTCCCTAGATATGGATGAGAGAGGTTGTTTGTCTCTATGTACCTGTGACCTGTCTATAATTAAAATATAAACAAGAGTGCTAACATATTTTTTCTTTGACCAAACAGAAATGAACATCATCCCTGAATGCCTTTGGGTCTTATTGTTCATGCATAAGGATTGCATGTATTTACTGCAAGATTGTTTGAAGCACAAATAATGGGTAAGTTCAGAAATACGTTTTTACAGGTGTCTGAAATGATGGCACAAGATTTTTCCATGCTTCARTGTAATAAATTTATGCCTACAAGAGCTTTTACCAAACATGCTGCTGTTTCTAGTGCTGCATTACCACCGAACTCAGTTTTTTCCTAATCTAATTGGAAAAACTCTAAAATGGAACAAAAAGACTAACTTTCCATGTAGGTAACTTTAAAAATTCAAGCTTGACTTCCACTTTTCCACATCCTTCACAAATTACTGTAACTTATATTTTTATGATTGCTCTAACAATATATAGTTCTTTGATAATATTCAAGATTGTGTCTGTTTCTGTTTGAACTACATTTGATGCTAATTTATTGGAAACAGCTTTAAATAATAGCTGCCACTTTTTTATTGAACTATGATTATTAAAAATTAAAATACACATTTTGTTTAGGTGGAATAGACTCATAGTGTGAATGTAGAAGATTTCACTGATCCAAACCTTTTTTTTAAGTGTATGCTCAATGTTGCACATGTTAGGGTAACATTTTGCTCTCATTACATCAGGAGCAAGTGATCTGACATTTTCTCTGTACCTAATAATTTTATGATATTTTCTGTCAAAAAAAAGCAAACTACAACATGAAGCATTTGTTTCGTCAGTTTATTGACTTTTATTGCATTCCAACAAATGAAGAAAGCTATTTACAAAAGCTGTGCCACAGAAAGTACCAGAGTTAGTTGGTGGTATTTTACCCATTTTATTTTTCATTCAGTGAGCAGTCTTTTGCCACCAGAAAGTGTGAGCAGGCGTGTCTCCTCGTCTCTCTTTACGTCAGGGTTCATGCCTGAGTTTTGCCATCCTTCCTGGAAGGAGGCGTTGTAGGGAGAACCCAGCGGTAGCAGTCTGAAAAGCGGAGGCTCTTATCCACCGCGCAGCTGGTGCAGTAGACGATTCCTAATGCCAGCATCACCACGAGAAACACACACAGAGGCACCAGCAGAGCYACAAGCAACCAGCTCTTGTCATGCTTGCGTTTACCAGCAGCAGACTCTCCTGCCATTGATGTAYTGTTGGTGTCCATCGGTGTCTCGGACTGCCCAGTCCCACTGGATGATCCTGTTTCAGCTATGACCCCACCACTTGGTTCTTTTCCTCTTGTCTTAACGTCATGATCTATGTCGTTGTCGGTGTCCGTTTTATGCGTTGGGGATTGGGGTGTTTGGTATYGCACGGGTGAAAGGTCATCCCACTGGTTCAGGTGATCATCTGACTGATGAGCCATGTCAGGAGTTAGTCCCTCAGGGGCTTCTGTCTGCCAACTGACTTCATAGTTGCTTTCTTCTTTAAAATATGGGTCTGTGGTGGACCAAGGAATACCATACTCATCAGAGGTACCAGAATCAGGGGTCAGGGTGGAATATTCTTCATCATAACTGGAAGCTTGGCAGGTAAATCCATCTGCCTGCAGCTCAAAGCCGTCGTCACACTCACACCGGTACCCTCCCATTTGGTTGAAACAYTGGTGGTGGCAGGGTGACTCCAACACGCACTCGTCCACATCCAGGCAATCYCCTTCCCCGCTCAGCTCATAGCCAGGGTCACACTGGCACGTGAAGGACCCGATCGTGTTTTTACAGGAGCCCTCGCAGCTGCCGTCGTCGAGGCACTCGTCCACGTCCACACACTCGCCGTCGTCGTCCGGCTGAAACCCGTTGAAGCAGGWGCAGTGGAAGGTGCCCCGGGTGTTCACGCAGAGTTGGTGACATGGATGTTGTTGACACTCGTCGACGTCGGCGCATCTGCGGCCGTCCGGACTTATCTGGAAGCCAGGGGGGCACGTGCAGCGGATGCCACGAACTGTTTCAGAACAGTCGTACTCGCACCCAGCCTCCACGCAAACCTGTTTGATTTGGGGCCGGGCGGTGGTGATGGCAGGATCAGGAGACAGTTCTTCAGGTGGGTCATTTTGGTTCAGGGGGTCGGGCTTGCAGCTGTAACCATCCTCATCAATGACGAAGCCCTCAGAGCAGTAACAGTAGTATGTTTGGTCTTTGTTCTGGCAGTGCTGCTCACAACCATGATCCCCACTACACCAGTCCTGATATTGTGTATCTAAACTAGAAGAACATAGAGGAGCATCTATGGACCAGCCCACCGTCTCGTCATCTCTCTCCATGCACAGGACGATTTGCTCAGCAGGAGCACTTGGGTTCAATCGGTCTATGGGACACGGCAAAGTGGCAACAGATCCAAAGGGAACATGGGTCAGCAGGGTGCTTATAAGTTTAAAAGGCGTTGTATAAACAGCCGGACCTCTGCCCTCATCTTCTAGTGGTGAACACGTCGCTTTGTGGTTATACTGACAAATATATCCATCCAAAGGCACTCCACAGGGGCCTTCAATCCACTTGTAGTTCGCTGCTCTCTCTCGCTCGCTCTCTGATGTGTGAGCAGCCATGGCCACGCAGCGGTGGGCGGCACACGTCTTTGGCATTTCTTCACGGATCCAGTTGGTGAATTGACCTTCCTGGTTTCCTGTTAGAAGATAAAGACAAGAACAAAATTAGTCAAACACAAATGCATTCCTTTAATTTAGCTCTTTCAGACCTAACATGACTTGTAAAACCTCGCCATGCTCTGTTTTCTGCTGATTTATGAGGGTATACTAGTTCATGTTCTTTTGGACACTCATTTATTTTGACTTCACCACTAGAGGTCGCCAAATGTTACAGTACWTACCAATATGGAGTTAGTCTCAATATTTGGCCTGTTAATTTTGTTGCAACAGTTCTTGTTCCTTTTTAATTTGAATTGAATGAGATTGAGTCAATTGCCTTCAAAAACAATAAAAACTTTGAATTAAAGTAGATTTTTAATGAACAGGAGGTTTTTTTTTTCCAGTGGAGCTCAAGTCTGCTTTGTAAAAACATTGATATTTGTTCTCATCCATCATGTTTCAGAATCCAAACCAGAACAAATAAGACTAATTCTCTCTGTAAAACTTTAATATAATCAAATGAGTACAGTATTTTTTTTATTAAAACCATTATTTTTAATATGGCCCAGGGATTAAAAAAACTGAAGTAAGTTGGCCTCTGAACTAATAATGCCTTTCCTGGCTGTAGACCGAGGCGCACATCTGTGATTTACAAGTCTGTTTAATGTCTAAATAAATCTGAGGGGTGGCAATGAGTTCAAGGAGAGAAYGTCCCCAGTTGCACCCCTTTCAGCGAAATGTTAGGAGTTAATGCAAGAAACAGTCATGAAGCACAAAGTCCTGCAGACTGGCCTGATGTGCCAACGTCTGACAGATGTGTGCAAAATTAAAACAAACTGGTTCAGCATTGTAACATTGCGGTGTAAGTTTATACATTCAGAGATCAGGAGATTGTTGTGTCACAAATCCATTACTTCAATAATTAACTTCTTAATTAACAAAAATTACACCTATATAAACAATTTATTAATATTTTATTAACGTCTATAATGTCTAATCACACAAAAAAGTCCTATATTATTGCAAGTCTAATTATCTCTGTTTATTGAGAGGCTAAGTTCTAATTGCACCATTGGTTAGTTCCATTCAAGTATTAGTTTCTGTATTATCTGGTGGTTTTACATGAACAAACTGATAACATACTAAAATATTTTGATATCAGTTGAAAAATCAAAAGATGAGACTTTGCCTGTGACCCAGACGAATCCTTTGAGCGGTCGGGTGGTCGAACACTGGCGTGGAGCTCTGTGCAGTCCAATCCAGACACGGAACTTGGACCTGGAGCCTTGTGGATCGATGGCCGACATCAGTTCGTGGACCACGTCCGCTGCTTCTTTGGTATGCATAGTGGCCAGGGTCCCACCATGCTCCCTGCAGGCCTGCCCAGCTTCTCTGAAGATCTTCTTCTGGAAGAAGACAGCGTAGCATCCTTCCTGGTAGCAGATTGTGTGCTTCTCTGGCAGCTGGTCCTCCTCAGGGTTGCTCTGCCTCTGGCCCCAGCTTCCAGGGGCCACACAAACAACCAGGAGCCACAGGATGCACAAGAGGCTCATGCTGCTGCAGCTGCTCCTGGTCTTCTTTAGCATCCTCAACCACAAGCTGAGCTCTAAACTAAGCCAACATTCAAAGGATTACCACAACTTACTAAAAGAAAAAATTCCTGTGAAAAAAAAAGTCTCTGCCTTTGACCAGAAAAATCTTGAACCAATCTAGACTAAGTTTTTAAAAAAAATCAGATTACTTTAGAACACAAAAAGTCCAGAATAAATGTATTTTCTTTCATTTGCCTTAAACAGCTAAGGCACTCTGCAWAAAAACACCCAAACTTTCATTCAAACTGTCAGTGGCTGTTTTAAGAAAATCCTCCAATTTYTTTTGACCCACACAGTCCAAACTGCAGTCCAGTCCAGAACTGGATGTAGGGAGCTGCCTTTCCTTTCCTCCAAGCCCAAAATAGATGCAATGACTCGAATAAACTTTCAAGGCAGAAATCCTGTGAGTGTATCTGATCCTGCCACAGCTCCCTTACCTCTGCTGAGCTGGCTTTCAGACTGAGCATCAGAAAGAGAGGAAGACTGGGGAGGGCCGAGGGCAGGAGGTGGGGGCTACGTAGAGGAAAATTGTGGAGGATGTCTTTGCATTTTTTTTTTTTTTTTTTTGGAAGAGGGGGCTGGTAAAGTGTCTGAAAGAAGACCAGAGGGGACGATGGTGTGTGGGTGGTGGGGTTTGGGGGCTGTTGGGGGAATTAAAAACCCTGGGAGAAATATGAAAAGCACACGAAAGGCTGTCCCCAATCTTGACACACACACACAAACACACACACAGCGTTAATGCAACGCAGCATCCACAGGAGTGGAAAGAGTTTGTCAGCTTCATGTGATGCAGAAGTTGTCCCCCTGCTCTTCTACTTACTGTCCGCTCCTTCTTTTCCTTCCACCTACTGTTTTTCTGTCTCTCCTTCTTTGTCAGGCTGCCACTGTTTGATGCTTCTTTTTTTCTTTGCTTTCTTAGTTTTTCCTCTATACCTTCACCCTTGGCACATTTTCTCACACTGCCTGTTCATTTTTCTGTCTGAAGTCCGCAGCAGCTGGAAGTTTTTAACCGTTCAATGGAAACTTTAGAGTGAGGAGCAGAAATACCAGCTGAAACGTGCATATTATGTGTGTGTGTGAGATCGAATTTATTTTTCTTGAAATAATATCACTCCACAAAGACACAGATGTTTCTGTGTGCTTTATACTGTGTGTGTTTGTGCATGTGCGCCCATGACTTGGGGGCATCTGGAGGAGAGGAAACAGGAAATGCCAGATGTGCATCATCTTGACCTCTCCATGGCTGGGGAGCGTGCAGGGAGTGACGAGTGGGATACCTCCACTGCTGCTACACGATCCATTCTCCATCAACAGCACGCCTGGTGCAAATGTAAAAGGATGCATTTGTATTTTTCCAAAGAAAAACACCGTCTTTTTCTTTATTTTCCCCTTGTGCTCATACAGCCAGCAAAGCCAGAAAAAGCACTAAATGGCACCAATCGCTGTGATCTAAACGGAAAGTTACACATTTAAAACTGCTGGGAACTAAAAACGGATCTTTTGAAGTGGACTTCTCTGGAAAGTTTCTGAACAATTATACCTCACCTAGTCCAGCTAATCTAAGTTGAGCCAAGACTGAAGTCGATCACTGCCATCTTAAAAAAAACCTTCAATCTAATAAAATTCATGTGGGCATTCATTTCAAAACTTTTTGCATTCCACAGTTATTTGTTTAGAACTCTGYRGTTATTTCCAGCACAARTAGTGGCAGCAGCAGCTAGTTGTGGCTTCTGGTGCAGCCTGAGGCTCTTCCTGTCTTCCTGGTTTTTGTTAGTTTCTCTGTGTAGTTGTGTTGTTTATCATTAGACTTATTCATGTTTTGTGTTACTTGTGTTTTCATCKGATCAGTTCTTTGTGTTTCCTTTGTGCAATCCACCACATCTCCTCAGTCGGCCTGCCCGCAGTCACACTTGGGTCCAGTTTTGTTRTAGTCACAGCTGCAGACACTCTTCAGATCAGTTTCGGTCCATCTTCTGTTTCTTTTCACACACCAGCTGAGCATCGTTGGCTTTTATGTCACTCTGAGCTGAAAGTATTCAGAGTTRTCTGCAACAGGTAAGATAATAACTGTTCTTGTCTGGCCCACAGTAATCAGATTCAAATTAACCCTTTAATATTCAAAATGCAAAACTAATTTGCTTGAGCAATGAGTGTGTGCTAAAGACAATCATTTTAAAAAAGTTAGGACACTACCGCAACAAAATCAAGCAGGCTAAATATAATGATGTGTTTGAGACATCTGTAAGATGTAAAATGACAGCAACATTTCATTYGCTGCAGCTTCCTAACAAAGAGTGATGAGATGGAAAAGTGATGCTAAAGTGCAGCAGAAGCAGTTATTAACCACAAACATTTTGAGCCCAAAACCTCGGTTCCCTCAGTGCMTGGCCAGATGATTGGACGGGCCGCGGCGCGTTGGTTTTGGCAGACAGATTATATACAATGTCATTATTCAGCAGTCTTTTCCAGTTATGTAACAACCGCTGAAACTAGAGCGAGAACAGACAGAAAACCTCTGGATCCTGGAGAACCTAAAGAGCCTTTCGCTCTCCTCCTCCTTCCCCACATCACTATTTTTTCTTCTCTCACTTCTCATCAGCCGTTTTCTTACTTTACCCTAAACTTTTCTCTTCTGCTCAACCCTTCTTTTGACATTTCATTACTCAGGCTGCACYCTTTCCTTCAGAATGTCAGGTTTGTGCTAACAAACTCCAAATCCTACTGTTTATTTTATTAAATTGTSTGCACTGGCTCCTCCTCTTTCTCAGATCTCTTCTTAAAGGAACCYATAATTAATAGAGTAGATGCTATAATCGTGCGTCCATGATTTCTTTTGTTCTCATCAATCTACACGCCATGTATTTCTCTATCTTCTAACCCAAAGACCTCTAATGAAACAGACAGATTTTGTGGTTTTATGTTGGCTGCCTSTGCCTCAGCCTGCCACATGACATCACTGGCTCCAAATCTTTCTCACCTTCTAGTTTTTACCCAGCTGAACTTCACATTAAATGCTGTAAAGCATTTCACCTCATGTGACAGAAGTGGATACAGTTAGAGAAATGAGCTAGGGATAAGACTCTGTTGTTAAATTGTTAGCTTTTACAACTCAAAAGGCATCAATAATGACCCTGAAAACATCAGCAATCATATCCTTTTAAGCCAACTTTATTGCCATGATTGCTTGACTTTGAAATTTTACATATTTAAATAGTTTAAACATGTCTGGTACTGATTTCATCTCCATTCATAGCCTCAAATTAAAGGCAGCATTACRAGAAGAGACAAAAAACCTCAAAAGCAATAGAAAAATAAAAAGAGCGTTGATTCATGACATGAATGTGTCTAAAAGTTGCATTTCCTTACAGTAAAACATCTTAAGGGTTATAAAGGGACGGGGAAAATAAACCAAAGTCAGTCTCATCTGTTCTGCTGCAACCAAAAATCCACAAATATGTACCAATCCATCCAACAGATGGTGAGACATTTTTCCCAGTTTAAAAAGAAATTTTAGCTTCCATGTTGCACCACAAAAAAATAAATAAAAAACAGAGATGTCAGAAGTAATCGTCTGGAGGACAAAATTATTTAGTAAAAAATTGTCAACAAGTCATCCAGAGGTTGTTTGTGCTAAAATCCCCAAATGTAATGCAAATGWTTAATAAAAATATGAATCCACACAAACAACTTTACTTTAAATCCTATTTCTGAGTGAAACCACTTATACTCAAAGCTCCAATACACGTGTCAAACTGAAGGCCAGCGGGCCAAAAGTGGCCCGCCATGTCATAGCATCCCACAGGTGGAAGTGAACAGGGTTCAAATTCACCAAAATCACATATTTCACTGCATATTTGCAGACTACTTTTACTGCAGCTCAGTTGTACTGGGAAGTAGGAATTTTCCCACTTGCAAATCCTAATTTTAAACTGGATGCCCCTTCAGTGGGAATTCCCTGTCAGAAAGTGGGAGAGTTCAGAACTCACGGCGGCAACTCGACCGTGAGTAAAACTCTCTTACTTTTACTTTCAATAGTATTTTTCTGTATTATTTCTTTCACATTTCAGTCATACATRTWGTACTTTTCAGGGTTTATATTTAAACGCTGTTTCTATGTAGGAGATGAGAGTGCAATGAGATTAGGAATGTTTTATGTTTAGTTGAAGTTAAACACGAAACATCGACACTAATTAGAACTGGTCCAATGAAACCAACATAAAGCTCACGTGACCCTCGGTGAAAATGAGTTTTACACCCCTCATCTCCAAGGGAGGAGCCAGGGGGTGGCCATGGCCACC